ACTTTACCTTCCTCCGTCCCTCCCTCCCTCCCTCCTCCCTCCTCCTCCTCCTCCTCCTCCTCCTCCTCCTCCCTCCTATTCGCCACGACAGCGTGGGGGGAGATGAAGCTGGAGAAATGGAAGGCTTTTACCGACTGGCTAGAGAGCAACAATATCATCAAAGGTAAGGAGATGGTAGACGGCCTGAAGGGGAGGTGGCGAGGTCGGAGAGGAACAGCAACAGGAGCAGAGAGGAGAAGAGGAAGAAGGGTTTGGGAAGGAGCAACAGAGCAGGAGAGGGAAAGAAAGCAGGAGAGAGGACTGAGGAGGTTGGGAAGGAGGAGACTGGGAAGTTTTGAATAGGAGAAGAGGAGGGAGAGGAGGGAGGGATGAGACTGATTCAGCTTCAGATCGAGAAGGAAAAACTCTCCCTGCTCCGGATCCAAAGCTTCTCTTCACCAACGACTACCTGTAGGCTGTCGCACGATGTTTGACCAGAGAGAGTGAAGCAAGGTGTGTAAGAGAAGAGGGCAGGAAGGAGAGGAGGAGAGAAGGAGGAGAGTCAATGTCAAGATCCGGAAGTAGATTCTTACACCCTCTACACTTCCATACACGTTCGACTGTTTTATTTTAACCACATCGTCTCAACTTGATAGCTCTCTATCCCTCTCCTCCCTACTCCTCCTCCTCCTCCATTCATTTCTTCTACTCCTTCCCCTCCTCTCCTCCTCCTCCATCTCTTCCTCCTCTAGGTCGGCTCGAGCTCCCCGAGGTAAATCTGTTCACGTCCAGTCAGGCAGGCGGAGGCTTCAGCGTCCCTCACCTTCTTGTCGGAGCTAGCGGATGCAATGATGGGTTCAAAGGGATGAAAATCAACCTCGTTGACACATCCTGCGTGCCCCGGCAGCTTGTACCTGCCATGGCACCTCACCAACATGCTCGACGGCAGCACTCCTCCACTCACTGCAGCTTCCCGTGCTCTGCGTCCCACACATACACCATCTTGTCTGCACTGCCGGATCCGACGCGCGCGGCTGCTTCCTCGTCAGCATCCTCGTCCTCGGGGCACCCACTCACCGTCCGGGGACCAAGCGCATCGGATCAGATTCTTCTCGTAGTTGTGCATGTGACCTCCCATGACTAGCTTACAGCGCGATCCTTCGACGAAAGGACGAGTGTCCCACACTCTGACGCTGAGAGGAACGAGTGAGTGACCCCATGACAAACTCCCCTCCTGCTCCTGCTCCTACTCCTGCTCCTGCTCCTGCTCCTGCTCCTGCTCCTGCTCCTGCTCCTGCTCCTGCTCCTGCTCCTGCTCCTGCTCCTGCTCCTGCTCTGCCTCTTCCTGTCATTCCACCTCCCTTCTGATTCTCTCCTATCAATGCGCATCCCTATCTTTCTAATCTTCATCCTCCTCTCCCGAGGGCGAGCGCTTACGTGTTGTCCATGGCGTTGGACAAGAGCATCTGACCGTCAGGACTCAACCGCAACCCTGTGAGAGTGTCGGTATGGCCAGACCTGCGCTCCCGTCACGACCACTCCAGCTCCTCCTCAGCATCCACGACAGAGATTGGCGCAGCAGCAGAAGCAGCAACAGCAGATGAAGTCAAAAAACACGATGGAAGAACTGTAGCACCAGCACCAGCACCAGCACCAGCACCAGCACCAGCACCAGCACCAGCACCAGCACCAGCATGCTCGCAGAGCATTCAACTCACATTGTCAGCTCGATCTCTTCCTTTCGGAGGTCCCAGATCTTGATTTCGTTGTCGAGGCCACCCGAGAACACCCTGTTGCCGTCGTCGCTCAGCTCCACCGCCGTCACCTGAGCGACAGCATCAACAGCACAGCACAGGAACCCGAGCTCCTCCTCACCTGGTAGCTTTCCTCCAGCGACGTGACTGCGTTGCGGACTCTGGGGTCCCAAACTTTGATCGTACCGTCATCAGACGCACTGGCTCCGATCAGAACGCCACGGCGAGTGCAGCAGCAGGAGTTCACAAAGCTGCTATGACCGGAGAATTTCTTTATTCTCTTTCCAGTCTCCGCGTCCCAGAACATGACCATCTGTCATCCAGGGAGAAAACTTCATCATCAAAGAGGACGACGAGAGCAGAGGAGCATATAACATAAGAAAGAGTAGAGGAGAAGGTGGAACCAATAAGAGCAGGGCAGGAGAACGAGCAAGAGCAGGAGCAGGAGCAGGAGCAAGATGACCACGGTTTTCTCTCCTCACCTTATCAGCTGCGCAAGACCACAAGTTACTCCCATCAAATGACCACTGCAGTTGCAAAACAGCCTGGAGCATGTGTCAGGAAGCCTGCGGAAAGGAGCAGGAGCAGGAGCAGGAGCAGGAGCAGGAGCAGGAGCAGGAGCAGGAGCAGGAGCAGGAGCAAGAGTTCTGACCTGCTTGTGTCCCTTCAACACCCCATAATTCACGCAGTCTCCGTAGACCTCCCATAGGAAAATATCCTTGTCATGCCCTGCAGATGCAAGGTACTTCCCGGTGGGATCGAACCTTACAGTCAGAACCTGCGAGCTCGTCATTCAACGTAGGTGCATGTTCCACATATGATGCCATGATGACAAGACTGCAAGACACACGATCCTCCCCCGCCCTCCTCCCCCGCCGAGTACAAGCATCAACAGGAGAAGCCAACGGCAGGAAGCTCGTCACTACTCACCTCTCCGCCATGACCCTGAAGGAGCATGATGGGAGCAAGGAGGGCAGATGTTCTGTGCTCTTCCTTCTCATCTCCCTTGCTCTTCTTCGCCACCAGCGCATCCTCTCCCGTCGGGCTCCTAGGCCTTTTCGCTACCAGCGCCATGCCCCTCCTCGTGCCCTTTGACTACAGACCCGTTTATTCAAACCACCCCTTGCCGTTCTTTGCTGGTCGATGGCATTCAAGGTGCACGAAAGTATATATGTAGTCAAATTAAATAATTTGATCCTCGTACCTTTGTAGTGCAGGGATTGAAATAAGGGGTGGGGTAGTGATCCAATTTCACTATTTGGGCGGCTCTGGTCCTCTGACACGGATATAGTAAAGCGTAACCACAACAATGGATGATCACATGAAACGGTTCAACGGTTCTCAACCAATCTGTAACGTTCGGATCGAGGGGACAGCCCAGAGGGGGTAGTCTATTATGAAAAAGACAGGGGTGGGTGTCGAACATGAAGCAACGAAGCTTCAAAGGTGGGGGTCATTTCATGATGAAATTAGGGGTAGTTTTTGAACAAAGGGTTGTTGTACCCACCGGTTATGTTGAATCAGACACGGATGCAGGATTAGATGGGGGTAGGGTTCTAGTTCACCCGAAATAGCTTAGGCGGCATGGCAGAGCTGGTGGCGCCTGGCAGGCGATCGGAGGGCCGCCGATGGCGGGACGGCCTGGCAGCCATGGCGGCAGGATCTCTCCTTCTCCTCTTGGCTGCGAGCATGCACTCTAGCTCCTCCTCTTCCTCCTCCTCTGCTTCTGTTCTCTTGAGCCCCCTCGAGGTTGGACGGTATGCTGTTCGGGCTGAAAGGCAGAGCAAGGACTACGACGAGAAGGCGGAGAGACAGATCGCCTTTGCCACTGACAGCGATAACTCGGCTACGAGCGAGAGAGAGCTTGCAGCCAAGGAAGAGAAGCGAGCAAGAGAGTCAGCCTACCTTGCAGCTGATATTAAGTCAAGGATCGACAAGATTCTTGAGGCTGGAAGGGACCAGGTGAAGTCTTTGCATCTTGCCGTGTTCTCTCATGCCTTCTATTTCTTGTTGTCGTTGTGTCCCTCCCCTTGAGTTGTGTCCTGATTGTGAGCTCCATAATTGTCACGATCCCCCCTTGTGTTGTTTTACCTGGTGTAGTTATTGCTCGTTTCTTATCCTGCACGACTTGTAGGTCAATCAAGCAACCAAGTTGAAGGCTAAAGCTGGAAGACTTCAGGAAGAGGCAGCAGAGATCCTCAAGAAGGCCTCGTTGGAGAAGGATGACGCCGGTTCCTTGAAAGAGAAGTATTACAAGACCATGGACACTTATGGAGAGGCCGTGAAGAAGATCGATTCAGCTACCCAGAACGCGCAGGCGATCCTTGACCAGATGAATGCTCAGTCACTCGTGCTCGCTCAGATCGCCACCGAGTATGGAGTCGCAACCGACCATGGAAAGAATCCCGATGCAAGCACCGCCGAGGCTCTCCGCTCCCAGCTCCTCCAGGCCCAGAAGGACCTTGCTGCCATCACAGCAAAGAAGGCGCAGGTGAGACATGCTGATACATGCTGCCCGAGCGTCCTGTGGGCTGATGTGAGCGATGCAGGCGAACGAGGACACGGCGACTGCTCGCAAGCTGGCTGACGAGTACCAGCCCATGATCATCCAGGCGGAGAAGGACAAGAGAGAGTCTGACTTCCACTTCCAGACCTTCGCTCAGCTCACGCATCAGGCTGATGTGCTGCAGAACAGAGCAGACGCGCTCCTGAAGCGTGCGGACAGCACTGATGGGCTCATCGACGTGACTCAGGAGAACCTGAAGAAGAAGCGGGAGCAGTTCGAGCACTACAAGAACCGTGCTCAGACTGAGATGGCGATCTCACTACAGGCTGAGGACAAGGAGGCTGAGCTGAGGAAGCAGGCGAGAGAGGCTCGACTTCGTGCCGCCAAGCTCTCCGATGAGGCGCGCAGACTTCGTGCTCTGGCGCAGAAGGGAGTCAACAATGTGCTCGCAAGTGCTAAGGAACCCGAGACGCAAGAATCGTGAGCACAGACAATCGTCCGACGCGTTTTGTGTGACTTAGTCTCCTCATGCTTGTTTAAACGTGATGCTCTCAGCTATGATATTGTTTGGAGAGATGTGTTAAATAAACCGCCATTTCATGAAGATCGCCCTTACTACATTTCAACTCTACCTCCCCCTGTTCATGATTGTCTCTTCTATGTAACATGAAACCTCACACCAAACCTTGTCGCGTCCTCATCGCCTGCAATTCTTCCCTCAATGATCCCCGTCCTGGCGACGCTGAGCCCTGCCGATCCGTTACAATCCCTCATCAACATCCAACTCGCTTACCATCCCCGTCCATCCCGCTAGCCTCTGTTGCTCTCCTCCGTTAACCATCGGAAGTGAGAAAGCAGAGCCTGATCCCCTGCTCGCAAAGAGAGGAGGAGAAGCAAAGGCTCCCAATCCCGGCAGACTCTTCAGAGCAAGCTTTGGCTGCATCGCCTGCCCTTGGTGGAGAATCGGGGAGGAGTAGAGCCCGCAGCGAGCGACCGAGCTCGCCAGCATGTCCTCCATGTCGGTAGCAAACGACTGGACCTGGGCTTCGGCATAGTCCTCGACGAGCTTCATGTCCGAGTCAGACAGCATGTTCCCCACCTGCACGCCCTGAGAGCGGTAGACTGCCATCTTCGTCTCGAAGCGCGACACCAAGTGATCCACCAGCTGACAGTTGCCCCCCGCAAATTCCAGGTCGCGCGTCAGGTGCTGCATCAGGACAATCACCGAGTCCACCAGCTCCTTCGCTCGCTTCAGGGGAGACAGCGAGTAGCTGCTGCCAGCGAACATGTCGGGCGACTCCTCGTCATAGGGGGCCGAGTAGTCCAGGTCGTCAGGAGAGGAGAGGTGGGCACGACGCCATGGCGGAAGTGAGTAAGGGGAGAAGTCGCTAGCGTCTCGCCAGTTGTAGGTCGTCCATGCCGGAGCATCTGTCAGAGCTTTCAGCTTCAGCCTTCACCGTCAACCTCCTCCTCACCAGGGTCTCCGCGGATGACATCGCCTCCTTTAACCTGCCCCGAGTATCTCGCGAACTCTCGAGCATAGCGAGCATACCGCAGCGCCAAAATGCCAGCCTGTAGAGATCTCTGCTCCCCCATCATCGCACCACTCGATGCTGATGCCGCGCGCTCAGCCTCCTCGTGCGCTCTGGCCTCCCACTGCGCCGCCATCCAGGCTTCCTGGCGGGATTTCTGCAAGCAAGAGTTGAGCAGACAGGACGGCAGGGAAGAGAGTGAGAACCTTCAAGTTCTTCTTCACCTCAGCCTCCTCCTTGCGGATCCTCGCTGCAGTGCCATGGGCATCGGTCTCATCCAAGTGCATCTCCTTCATCACGGCTGCTGAGGCCTGCGGGTGCTTTCAACTCAACTCGAGCAAGTTTGTGAGAGGTACAAGACTGACCTTTCTCACGGCCTTCTGATCATGGAAGATGTTGTTCAGATATCTAGCAACTGCTTGAGAAGCAGTGGTAACGAATCCCGCGTCTTGCGCCACAGCTTTCGCAGCATGAGTGTTATAGTCGACAATCTGACTGCTCTGCTGGAGAGCAGCTCGCATCGCGTCTCTTGCTTCGGCAGTTAACTTTGCTGCCTCGACTATGCGATCTGCATCCTTCTCTGCTTGCTTTGCTATGTCACCAACCTGCCCAGCAACATGCTGCGTATAGCCCAGAGCATGCTCGGCTGCGTCAGCAGCGTCGCGGGTGGTTCTGGCAGCTTCTATGCCGGCTTCAACACTCCTGAGATGTCGGTGGACGAGAGCCTTGAGGTCCCTGAGGATGTCTGAGTCCAGACTATCTGTACTGTTTCCATCCGGCATCAGCGAACTGATGTTCAGATCCAGCGCGGCCTGCGAGACGTTTCCTTGTGAGGCCCCTTGTTTGAGTTGCCCCCATGCTTGTTGGTAGATCTTCTGGTTGAGGTTGGCGATCTGATCATTCTGAGAACCGGCAGATGACTGTGAAAAGATTCTGTTCGCAAGATCCTTGAAGCCATTTTTCTGCTAAAACCGATCAGTCAGCACGAGTTGATGAATGTCAACATCATCGTTTCCATAGCAGTCCACACGCTGCACATCACACCCCATTCTCACCTGTGCAAGTTTTGGAGAAGTCAACAAGGATGACTTGATGGCCGCTTTCTTCTGCTGCGGCTTAACGATCTTCTCTACATTCATGATTCTCTTAACGAGGTCATCCCTTGCCGCATCCATATGAGACATCTGGATTAAAGCTGTCATGTCGGTTCTACATTACTCTTTAGCATTGATGTCTGACCTCCTTCGACAGTTCCTTCTCTATCACTTTCACTTTTCCTTGCAAGAAGTCAACCTTGCCCTTAGCTTTGTCATACTTGAGCTTGCTCGTCTGCAAAAGGTTCAGGACGTTGCGAGTAAGAACAACAGCAAAACCTTCAAAGCAATCGCTGTTTGGGCATCCTTTTGAAAATTTGACGCTTTGCTTGACTGGAGCAATGACCGCTCTCCAGGCGGGAAAATATTTAAGGCACAGTACAAGCAAATGCATAACATCGTTGATCCAACAAGAATCATCCGCCATGGCCTCTGTCAGGATCGTTACGAACATGCCAAGGGAAGATTGTGCAAAGATGCCTTGAATGAGATCTTCGCAACTCCCCCCTCATGCGAGTTGATACCATACTCGGAGACCGTCATGGAGGGATCAATGCCAGCTCTGGAACAAGACAGTCAGGGACAGAAAATTTGAGAAGTACACTTCAAATCATTCCAAGTGAGAGGCTCTTTTTGAAACATATCAATTGCCAAATGGAAATCATTCATCATGAGAGATAGAATAAATTTTCAATGCTACTCTTCTTCGTGTCATCAGAGAAGAATGAGAATTCACAATTCTCTGTGTTAAGGTACCATTACTGCTCATGGAAAAATATGCACTATCGTAACAAAACTGCATTCAGCTCTTCAAGAGCGAACTTTCTTCAGCGTTCACATGTTCATTGATGCGCAGGCAATCTTTTAGCCTCCACCATCACACCATAACTCCCATCACTCGCGTACCTCCTTGCGGCTTCGTTCGTCTCCCCCATTGCCAAGGGGGAGCTACCGCAAATAGAGGTGATTGCCGATTATAGATTATAGATAATTCTTCTACTAAATATCATAATTCTACACCCGGAGTCCGCCCGTGCCGCTGGGCCGGGTCGCCGGGTCGCCGGGTCCGCCGGCCGCCGGGCCCCCGCTCTGTCTCCGAGGAGGCTCCGCCGCGCGGGCCCACTCGCCGGACCGGGCGGCGCCACGGCAGCCGCGAGCGGGCCGAGCTTCACGTTAACTGAGCTGCTACTGACTCAGTGAGTCACTCGGACTAGCCGCGGCGCGCTGACTCACAGAGTCAGCAGCGGGCCGCAGAGAGTCCGGCGCTGGCACCGGCCGGCCGCCCGGCCGCCGGAAGTATCGGGATAGGAACTTGAAGATAACTGAGAGACCGGGAAGGCCGATAGAAGAAAGGAAAAAGTTTACTAAGAGCATGATAGCGAGAAAGGAGAGTGACTCTGTGAGAAGAGAGAGAATGAGAAGAGAAAGAAAGAGAGACAAGCCTGAAGAGTGATGAAGAGAGAGAGGAAGACTGAGAGAGAGGAAGAGAGAGAGAGAGAGATAGAAGACAGGACCCCATGCTTATATACTAGCGCAGAACCAGGGGTAATGTCCGCCCCGAGGATGCGGAAGTTCCTCTGGTCATTCCATCGAATAGTCGGAATAGAGTACCGTACCGTTCCAGAACAGTTACGATTTCTCAGTTTAGGGCTCGGCAAGTCTGGGCTCTAATATAAGATCAATGTGATCCGTCACACCCGCACTGCAGTCAACTGACCGCGAATCTGCAGTGCTGAGACAATGCCGGATCATGACTGCTCAGTCGGCGAATCAGCCGCTGTGAGCCTGAGCCCGTTGGCCCATGTGAAAGTGACTCCTCTACGCGTCTACGTGGCTCAGCCGCCGCCGCACTGCCGCACTGAGTTTTATTGGCTTGAAACGATAACAATCACCGGCCATCTTATTTGTGACTGATTTTCCCACCCGGGGACTCGGAAGCCTCAGTTACAGTAGGACTGGCGTGGGTGAAAAGCTGAGAGGACTGTGGTTAGCAGAGTCAAGGAAACTGTCCGGTCCGACGGAAACCAACTGTCAAGGGAAGACGACCAGAAGCCTCTCCTCTAGGACCTCGCGCTGACGCCGCACCTTCAGTCCATCAACATGGTGTTGGGCACACCTGAAGCAGCCTTGGACGCTTCCAAGTGCAGAACGATCTCCTTGGCTTTCGCATAGTCGCCACTCTTGATGGATTCGTAGGCACTCTGCTTCATCTCCTCGAGGTTGCCCTCCCCAAAGTTCCTTCCGGCTGCATTGACAACCGCAGCACCCGAACGCTCTCCTTTCTTCGGGCCCATCAGCGTCATCCCACACAGCTCAATGAAGCAGGGATTTGGAGGAAACTGAATCAAGCTGTAGATGCAGCAGAACTTGTTGCTGTACAAGACGCATCCGTCCGGACCGAAGGGTTCGATGCAATCTCCAGTTCCAGTGGTCTTGTAGCAGCACATCTTTCCTTGAGTGTCGCAGAGGTGGGGCTCGGTGACACTGGTACATCCATATCCCTCGCAGCAACAGTACACCAAGAACACTCTGGAAGGCAAACAGTCAATGTGACGGACCGGGTGACAACGAATCTCACGTCTCGTCCAAAACCTTCAACGTACTTCCTGATTTCGCCATGATTTGCTCCACTGCAACCACACCGAACAAGGTTAGTTGACCGCCACTTTCGCATCTCAACTCTGCGTTCTTTTGTGTTATGACCATGTGAAGCAACAAAAATTCTAGGAAAGAAACTAGGAAAGAAACAGATTTCTCAAGGAATGAAAGGCATTCTACGTTCGTGGATGGAGGATGTCACTGTGTGAAGGTATTACACAAGAAATTACTTCCTCAAAACACACATGTGATTCAAACACTTCCAATACAACAGTCGTCGGGATGGGACGTGGAAATTTTATGATCTCATGACGATGAACGATCGCCCGACAGAAAGTCAGGAGGGATCTTCAGCATGGGCAGTAATACAAAGATGTCTTCTCCGGCATGAGCAGGGATCAGTGACGATGTTGTCAGGAGATGCAATGCTGCGCAATCATGGTGGGGCGAGCGAAGGGCAGTCTGCCGGCGAAGCGGGGGGGGCCAATATATGAACTTCTGCCAAGGACAATGTTAACTTCACAGGGTGGGGGTGCTTGTCTTCGTAGTAACGACTAGATTTATTAGGCACGGTGGGGTACTGTGTAAGGTCAAAATGGGGGTTAGATGGTTGGTAATTTCGGTAGAAGGGGGTACAAGGGTACCGTAGAGGGTCGTAAATTTATCCGTAGTAAAACTTAATAGTAATAATAGTTGGTAATAAAGTTAGTGATTGTAACAGTAATAATTACTAAAGACTTCGGTACTCATCAGTTGTTATATAAACCTTCAGCCAAAGGCTTTCGGGTCACTACTCTTTACTCAAAGTTAAGTTAAAAATCAGTACGAGGACGATCAGGAGAATAGAGAAGAACCAACCGGGCCTAATCCTGATTGTCCTCGTACTGATTTTTAACTTAACTTTGAGTAAAGAATCCGGACCACTGCTGCGGCCGGGCCGCGACCGTACCCGGCGCTCGGCGGGCGC